TAAGCGTAGAGTTTGTGTGAATTTGTAATGGTTCAAAGCAGTATAGTACATCATTACATACGATTAACTTAACTCGATCAAAACAACGTCGTCGAACATCTGATTTAACCAACAATCGATGCTCGATTTAGTACCATACGAGGTAAAATGAATACTTTGACCGTCCTAGGTTCCCAGTTTATCATTTATGTCTGCCCATCACCGTTTGCTCTGAATCTTATTGGGGTATCAGGGTAAACAGAATACAGATGCCGTGTCTGAAAGAATTCAATATCAGTTGTCAAGAAGAATACGCACAGAGGTGGACGAATCAACTCTATATATGGCCGTCTTGATATCCCATAGACTAACCGTGCAGGATTGTCGGATCTAAGTTACTTTGCGGTACTGTTTTATGCTATTCCATGCTAATTTTGTTCGGTCTATTGTATAAATTCTATTCAAATGTGTTGCTCCCGTCGCCCTAAATGATAGACTGGTTCACCTCGACAAACTTAATTCCAATTTACGATTTGCCATTAACGTTATTTTAGGCGTTCGCGTCCCGCTGTGCGTCACTTAGACATAAACAAAGTATAAAGCCTCGCATCTATCGCTACAAATAGTAAGAGACAAGGAGATGTAGTCGTATTTGTACGTAGTATATAGCCAATTTGCATGAGACGAGCGCCACTTTGAAGAGCATCATTTTACCCGCCCCGGGCTGAATTCTGTCGGCCAGCGCAGGCCAAAGCCAACTTCCAGCGAGGCGATTTCATTGTGATTTACGATGGACAAGCAAGACAAAAAAGCATTAGCTGATTTTCATTTTATGGTATTGTTTTTTTAAGTGTGGGATTTATATGACCGTTTGTGCGTGCACACACATGCACAGACGAATGAGTTCTATATTTACTGCGTAGTGTTCGTTAAAAATGAGGCCGATTACCGCACGCGCACCAAAGCACGCTACTACCGAAACGCATTACTTTGACTCCTGTAGCAATAATTATGTAGTTGTAATAATTATTTCATGGCTGTTATACCTGCCTATATGTATCATGTATGTTCTACTCTGGCTGTCTTACGGGGTACCGTTGACAGCGCCGTAACGTTACTTAGCATAGCATAGTATTCATTAGAAGTATAATTGGTTGCCTTATAATTATTTGTGATGATATTTTTTGACATCGCTTTCCTACGTGTTGAAATTATTTTCTCTGCTTTCGCTGACCATCTTACCTAATCAAAGACGCCCCTGCTATGTTATAACTATTAGGCTCGTTGTCATCCACTAACTGAGGTAAAATAAAGGTTAACTTTATATTATAAACACACAAGTCTTGCATCCCTAGTTGCATTCAGATGGATAATAGGTAAAACAAGTGCCGTGGGTCTTTCACAGAAGAACAAATCGCGCTGTTCGGTTTAGCCTCCACAAAATATAGATTATTTACAATTTCTGTAATCTTAACAAAAAAAAACGTTTGTCTTATTTCGGTTTCGTTACGTGTCCGAAGCCAACTAGTAAGGCTTTCTAAAACACCGCCGTGCATCGACTCACAATCAAAGAATGTACGTTTTTATCGTTACGATATACATACGCTTATAAGATAAAAATTAACGACTATTTTAACAGCACTTCGTGCTGATTGGCAGTTTCCTAGAAATATTCTAGCACTCCTCGGCTATCTTGTACTTTTATTATACATATGGTTCGATATCTTTAAATCCGTTTCCAACCTCGAATTAAAAAATGTAACAAGTGTTTTTTTATCATGTTAATAAGTCCTTCTTGAACTCCGTTTCTGTTTTTACGGGGAGAATCACCTGGGTGGCATAACTCATCTATGAGTAGAATCCCAAGAAGGGTTGTCGCTGGCGGAAGCTCCTCTATGATTTACCGAATTGCGCGATACGCGACTGACGCGCTGACGAGCAGCTAGGCAAACAATAAATAGGTTCGTCACGGTAGAACAGGAAGTTTCCAATTATACATATACCTGACTCACACGTAGAGTTTAGCGCTCTCTCTCTCTATATATATACGTAAATTGACTCATATACAAAGACGATAACCGTAAGGGAAAAGTGGCTTTGCCAACTCATTAAATACGCACAATGGGACAAAAGTTTTAGGTGGATGGCAGTTTGGAAAGTAGCTACTTGACAGGTTAAGAATCTTCATTCTACTTTTTTCTTTTACTCTCATTCTGACTGCCTTCCTACTTTAGGGTATCTTTAGGAAAACTCTTAAGAGTATCCGTTATCTAGAAATGAACATATATATATATATATATATATATATATATATATATATATATATATATCAAGCAAATGTCGACGAAGAAATAAAAACGAAACTCAAAATACATCTAACCAATGTTGTTAGGTAAAGCTCCTCGGCTACCAATGATATACGCTGATTTGAACTGGAGGGTTCCAAGCCAAACATATGACTTGCTACGAGTCTTCATTACTGCCATAGGCATATAGTGAAGACAGTTTTCGATGCATTAACATGGTTAAATTTTTATATTGAATATCGTTCGATTCAGTCGCAACGTCCTCTACACGTTCGTGATTTATATCTTTCATCGGGCTTTAATTGACACTCTTTGGCAGTACTATAGATTCATACTGTTCTAGTAGTAATCGAGCAACTCATAGTTACTTACAGAAACTGAAGTGAAAGATTCTATAGAAGCCAATCTCATGTGTGAAATTGAACTGGCTGGCCCTCTCTAAGTAAGATTTAAGGTTCATTCCTTGTAAGCGTCTATCCGTCCCATTGTCCCGTGACATATTCGCTCATTATGATATATCTGTTAGATCAACCCCGTTAAGTAGTGCTCGCAGCTGTTCAGGAACGATCCTGACACGTCAATTAAGTCGTCATTTACGCATTGGGCTCGTTGTGTGACGATACTGACAGGAGAACAAGACACGCCGCCTCCACCAGCGTACATCATCGTTAACATTACATAGGCTAACCATCTAACGGATAAACGCTGCCATTGGTATCGGAAGCCCCCTCCTTCGCCGCCCTTGGCCCCACCGACGATGCGCGGACGAACAAGGGAATTAACTGTGGCAACATCAACTATCGGTCTCATGGCTTGTGCCACGTTGACGCGGTTAGACAGGCGCCACAGCCGTCCTGTGGTGAGGTGATTTCTCGCTGTAAACACGCGGATCTCATACCCTTTATCGCTCGTTGTTGCTGTGGCCGCTCTCGCCGTCCTAGTTGCTGCTTGGCCCACCATTCATCTTCATCAGGCCAATCAGGAAGCCTACGGACACGGTGACCACATCACAGCAACGACGACAACAACAAAAAGAACAGCTATGACGACTGTTTCGAAAAAAACTTTGATCAATAGAAAGTAAGGATATTAAATGCGGTTCATTAAGTTTTTATTTTGATATTCCTTTACAGAATATGACTTTATTTGATTCGTTCATTATGTTGTTAAAGCTGATTGAAAAAATAGGTCTAAGGGCGAAACTCGTGTCAAGTCGAAGCTCCGAATGCACCTCAGGCTACAAAGGTTGAGGTTGCCGAAGAAATTATGTAGTTTGTTTAGTGTATTTCCTTTGCGAACGAAGATATACGCGATATTCGGAACGAGCGAAGCCCGAGGTGTCGGAGCATGAGGTGCCTCAGGGCATATATGCACACGACAGTCAAGATAGCAAACTAACGATAAGAAGCTGCTATGAACCGTCATCTGTCGCAAAGGCGGATGACATTATTGTATTCTGAAGCATTATGTGATAAAAAGAGATTTACACTTGGCCTCCTATTGAGTCGGAGCAAGTTCCCTTCCTATATTTGAATTTAATTTAACCCACCGGCCGCGGTTTCGAAACAAGCCCCGAACCTCTGCGAGACCGTGTCAACGGTTACAAGCCTTTGCGATAACCTGCGATTTTCAAGACAGTGATACCTATTCCAGTTCAAATTAGGTAGAAATTGATTGAGCAAGTAAGTGCAATTTAAGGTGAACTTATGAACAATGTAATTTGCCCAGCTCTGCTTTGCGTAAACTAAAAGGTTACAGTAACCCAAAAGATTAGGTGAGGTCGTGGAGTTCACTAGCCATCTAATGTAACGCTAGCCTAATTATCGACCTAAGAATCGGAGCATCTAATTTTAGGTTTATTTTTGGCTATGCCTATATAATGCACATATATCCAACGCGAGACTAAACTAATTCACAAAGAATATTTTATTGAGCTTTACTATTTTTTCTATGTATTTTCATAAGCACATATATTTACACGCCTTGTAGTTAGCCATATGCCCAAATGGTGCACGTTTCAACCATAAGAAAACACTGCTGTGTTACAGCCGTCCTCCATTACACCAGTGTGTTTATGGTACGTATCCATACGCCTTGGGACTGAGGATTTCTCGTACGTACGGTTATACTCATGACGTGTTTACACTTCTCATAGTCGTCTCCCGCTTGAGTGAAAGCGTGCATGCATGTGAGTCTGTGTGGAGAGATGGATTGGTAAAGAATATGGCTAAAAACATCCGTCAGGTTTTAAAGTGATGGAGGGCAGTGGCCTTCTGCAACCCGAAACACAATCGAGACATCAGTTTATGTCTTGTTTGTCCGTTGGCTCTAATCCTTTATACCGAAGCAATGTTTCACTTCAGCAGAAATTCGGTAGAAATAGAAGTTTCCCCAGCGAGTTTCGGTCTCAAATGCTAGTAAAATAGTAGATATCGTCGATTTACTTGCTACTATTAGTATTATTTGTTCGAGCTATGTTTCTTATAAGGTTTGGTGCTTTATTGTTCCTATCATTGTGACCGTGATAATGTC